ATTTTATCTATGAGCTGGAGCTCCTCTTAGCATCTTTTTTATGGCTTGGCATCATGACTAAAGTGCCTGCAGTGATATCTGAGGTTTTGCTGGATGGGTTCCTTGCAAAAGGAATGGGGTTTTGGTAGCAAATAGAATAAGGAGTGGGTTGTTCTAACAAGAAGTGAGCAGGGCTTGCCACAGGATGACTTGCTGGAACTATTGGGTAAGGCTGAAAATACTTCTCCATTTGTGTTGTTCTGCTCAAGTGTCTGGATACCTTGATTAGAAACATTATGGAAATCCTCTGCTAAAACTTCTCCTAGTAGAATTAAATAACCCTATTAAAAAAAACCCACAACAAAAAAACACATCCCAGTAGCAACATAAAGTCATAAAACACAGAACTACCACCAGTGTAGAGAAAAGCTCCTAGCCTCAGTGGGGACAGCCATCCCAGAAGATGATGCTCTGCTTTGCTGACCACTAAGCAAATAAAGCCCAGAGTTGACAAGCAGGCTGAGGATGCTTCCATCCCCAAGTAAAGATGGGAGATCGGGCTAAATATCCTTTCTGTGCCTTGGCACAGGTCCTTGCGCAGCTCAGTGCATCACTGTACCTCTCAGGTAGGAGCTGCTGGGGTGGGGGGCACCTGTGAGGATTGCCTACTTGATTTGGTAGAGCTGAAGGTCACACAGAAACGTGGTCATGGATGTGAGACCTCTGGAGAGCATCCAGTCCAACCCCTGCTCAAGCAGGGTCAGCTGGAGCAGGTCACCCATGACCTTGTCCAGTTGAGTTTTGAGTGTCTCCAAGGATGGAGACCCCACAACCTCTCTGGGCAACCTGTGCCAGTGTTCACCCACCATTCTTAGGATTAAACAGAATTTCCTGTAATTCAATGTATGTCCTATCGTGGGGCACCACTGAGAAGGGTCTGGCTTCATCTCCTTTGCTCCCTCCATCATGTACTTACACACATGGATGAGATCCCCCCCAAACCATCTCTTTCCCAGGCTAACCAGTCCCAGCTCCCTCAACAGAGGTGGTGTGTGTTTTTTTTCTGAAATCAAACCATACCCAGTGGCTCTGCCTTTGAGGAGAAGATGGGTAGAAGTTACTTCTTTGACCAAGAGGCAACGGAGAGGCATTGTGCAGCCATCCCCTTGCCCACTGCTCAAGGCATACTGCTCTGCACACAAAGTCTCTGTGGGACAGACCATGCTGCTGAGACCTTGGCACACAGCTGCAGGGTTGGTCTAATTGCAAGAATACCCCCTCCAGAGCTGCTGGGATTTTTGAGTCTTAGTTAATGAGAACTGTTCCCACGTTAAGCTTGGAGAGGCTGGGGGGAGCTTGTGCAGGGTTTGGGGTGGGTAGGTGTGATGGGCAGCAGGGCAGAGGGCTGCAGGAACGACGGGGAGATGCTGCCTTTCACCCTTGCAGGTGGATGCTTGCAGTTCCTCAAATAAAATCTGGTGTCTTCAGCAAATTTGCGTGTCTGTTGTCTCACTGCCTGGTTTGAACTGTGGCTTGCGTGGTCAGGATGTTTGCTAAGGTGAAAAGTTCTGTCTGTCTTCCCATTCCTCCCTCCTCTTCATCCTCCCCTCCCCTCTCCCAGGCAGGATGCTGGGCTGCGAGAGGGGGTGTCACAATGGCACTTCACCCTGGGAAGGTAAGAGAAGGCAGTGGGATGCTGTGGTAGCTGACGCTGCCTCCCCTTTCTGCAGTAACAACAACCCCTACGCCTCCTTCGGAGCCACGCTGGCGCGGGACGAGGAGAAGAACCTGTGGAGCACCCCACACGACGTGACCCACACGGAGTCGGACGATGACCGGGTGCTGTACAACATGATTGTGGTCAGGAGCCAGCTGGACAAGGATTCGGAGGTGAGATGGTGCCGTTCCTCACGCTCGGGTTGCACCACCACCCTGGCTCGGTGCTTTCACTGGCTGCTTTGGTGGTGCCTTTATTTGAGCACCCATTAAGCTGCTATAAGGACCCCACAGTCCCCCAGTGGGGCTCACACAGGCACCAGGTCCTCCCTTCTGCTCCATCACCCTCCGGATTGTATCCTATAGCTGGTGTGGGTGGGTCTGTGGCCATCTCATCCCTGGAAAGCTCGGGGATGTCTCTGTCAGCTGAGCAGGAGAGCTGCCCTGAGCTGGGATGCACAATGCCCTGCAAAAACCTCTTCCACCACCCACAAATGTGTACTGGTGACACTGGGATCCCCAGCTCCATTTCCTAGCTTCACAGGCTGCTTTTTTTTTTGTCCAATATTCCCCTGGTTTGGTTTTTCTGTGCTCAGCCTGGCGTTAGCCCTGCCTGCAGTGGCTTTTGCCCAGCAGTGGCAGTGCCTGGAGCCGCTCCAGTGATGCGTCAGGTTAAATACTCCTCTAATGAGTTACTGGGCAATTATTGAGAAGGGGGGAAGTGGCACAGCTCTTAGAGCAGAAGGGAAAAGTCATCGCTGTTACATAAAGGCTGTTTTGCAGCCCTGATTTCCTTCACTAAAGCACTTCAACGCAAAGGAGATTTCAGTGGCCTGATTAGGAGAAGGCTGTAGCAAATAGTGACGTGTTTTCCCCGTCTCTGATTGTTTTTTTAAGACTTCAGAATGTTTGCAGGGAAGCCTGGAGGCTTCACTTTTAATTTCAACGTGATCCCACTTCATCCAAGAGATGGCAAAACTGTAACTCTTCCTCCTGTGATAGACTCCTTAACCAAAGGCTAGCTCAGCTGTCATGAGAAACCTTAAACTCCAGAGGTACAGCTGAGATCAAAATTACAATTTTAAAAACTTAAAATGAGACAATGCAATCCTTGTACACAGTTGCCCACAATCCCTATTTAACAGGTTTTTGGGGTTTTTTTTGGCGGGGATTGAATTAATCGTGGTGTTTACAATGGGTGAGTTGGTAACAATGTTTTCATGGCTGCCCATCAGCTTTACAGCTCTAACTGAAGATTTCCTCTTCCCTCCCCACGGCTGTTTTCTCTGCCTTGCTTGTCTAAGAGAAGGCAGGGAGCCTCATCCAGCCCAAAGTGGCTGAAGGAAACAAGAACTCTGTTTAGGGGGCTGTGCCAGTGCTGGGCTGTTCAGAGCTGGATGTAGTTCAGGGCAGCGCTGAAGCTTCTGATTTCAGCCTGCACCCATTCGAGCAGCCTTTTAGCTTGATCGGGGGCTTATGGTGAGCCAGGCCTCCTAAAAGCTATTATTATTTATAAAAGAGTATCATAAGTGGGTGAGCTGCTGAAATGATGGCTCCCTGAGCAAAGGAGAGTTGTGTGTCAGCCTTGCTCAGGTTGCAGAGGAGAACATCAGTTATGGGCGAGCAGGAGAGCACTCCTGCACCTGCCTGTCCTAAACCCAATGCTCCTGCCTGTCCCAAACCCAGTGCACCTACCTGTCCCAAACCCAATGCTCCTGCCTGTCCTAAACCCAATGCTCCTGCCTGTCCCAAACCCAGTGCACCTACCTGTCCCAAACCCAATGCTCCTGCCTGTCCTAAACCCAATGCTCCTGCCTGTCCCAAACCCAGTGCACCTACCTGTCCCAAACCCAATGCTCCTGCCTGTCCTAAACCCAATGCTCCTGCCTGTCCCAAACCCAGTGCACCTACCTGTCCCAAACCCAATGCTCCTGCCTGTCCTAAACCCAATGCTCCTGCCTGTCCCAAACCCAATGCACCTGCCTGTCCCAAACCCAATGCTCCTGCCTGTCCTAAACACTTTCTCCCTGCCTTCAGTGTACACATAGGGTTTTTAGCAGGGCTGAGCAGTTGCTGTGCCTGCCAGTGAAAAAGGAAATAACAAAGAGCACAGGGCTTCCTCTCCACACCAAATGTAAGACCACGTACCCTGTTTTTTTTATGCAGTGCAATGAATAAAAAAGCCTGAGGAGCACAACATCAGGCTGACTTTGAAGAAAACCAATGTGCGATATGCTTGATTTGAATTATGGCACAGAGCCCTTCGCAGCTAGTGATTGCCAGCCCCTCTGCTATCTCTGTGTTACAGCTAGAGAAACTGAGGCACAATATATAAGCCCAGCAAGCTGCTGGCAGTGTCCAGCTGCAGCTCTATCTAGGTGGCAGAACAGGGAAGGACTTGGCTGGCAAAGCCAACATTCCTGCGTTCGGCCCCCAGTGCTGAAATCTCTCCTTACTCCAGTAAGCATTTTAAAACTAGGCCAGATTGTGTTGCACTCCCCTGCTTAAAAGACTTCAGACACTGAGAGAGAGAGAAAAAAAAAAAAAAAAGGTCTAATTGCAAAACAGCACTGGGCTGCAAAAGCCATAATCTGCTCTGGGAGCTGCTCTGCTCCCAAAGTCCCCGGGGAGAGTGTGTGGATGCTGCAGGACAGGGAACGGAGGAACGGTTTCTTGTATGTGCAGTGCACGAGTGTTGTAAAACCATGGATCCTTTATTTTTTTCTCTTGGTGAGAATCAGACTGAGAGCAGAACTACTCCCTGTATTTCTGCTCCTTCATTTCACAAAGAAATTTTGGCGTCCTGTGCACTTACTGCGTGCTTTGTCATTCCCTAACTTTATCTTAGTGCTTTCATAGCACAGGACCTTGGAAAAATCCCCAAAACCAGGTTCCTCTACGACATGTGTCCTTTATCTGCGTGGCACCACCTCAGCATCAAACTGCTCCAACCTTCCTCCTTCCACGCTTCTCTCATCCTGCCCACCCATCCCACTTGGGACATCAGCCGCGGTCTCAGGCCGCCGTTAGGGTTAGGGTTGAGAGATCTACAAAGCCTACAGCTCCAGGGACACTGTCACTGGAAAAGGCAGGCCAAGGGGAGCACGGCACTCCATCAATATTTGTTCCTTCCTTACCTTTCTTATCTAGGCAACCCTTGGTACTTCCTAAACCCCACACACCGTTAGGGTTAGGGTTCAGAGATCCACGAAGCCTACAGCTCCAGGGTCATATGCACTCTAAAAATCATGCTAAGCGTGTATTTCTTAATCTGACTAACCCATTTCTGCATTCCTGGGTATCTTCTTATTTTTTAATTACTTCTTCACATAGTGGCAGTTTTCTGTGCGCTAAGACAGGAGAAGCAGCGGGCCAGGATGCAGTGGTTACATCATTGCAGTGCTGGAGTTCAGCACATGTGGTCCATGATGGTTCTGTCCTGGCCTGGACAGCTCTTCACTGTGGATCAGTGTTAATCAATAAACTAAACTGTGTATGGGAAGGGCCAGGTGCTCATATACCTAGTGCATCCTGTAGCTCAATCCATTTTCTGCATGTTAGATCATTTATGGTGGGGCTGCCAGCAACTCATAGTGTTGGTGTCCTCTCTTAGGGTCATTTCCTTGCCTCTGCCATAGGGTTGGACCCACACCTGATCCATGCAGAGCTTTTTCTTCTCCCTGCCCACTCCTGATAGCCCCATTCTGGGAAATTTGGCAGCTCCAGCCCAAACTCAGTGTGACCTTACCTTGCATAAGGATGCCAGGCGTGCTCCACCCAGCTCCTCACTGAACCAGGGGAGCAAGCTCTTCAAAGCAAGCACCATGTCATCCCGGGTGCACCCCATTTCACACCCACTTGCTCATCCTGCTCGCTGCCATGTGCTGGGAATGACAGCTCATGGGGCCATTGGCCATGGTGGAGCCCGCTGGAGCACCCAGCAATTGCCAAACCCACTGTGCAATGGGTACATGAGGCAAAATTCACTGAAGCACCCTAAAATCATGAGGACTGAGCAACTTGCAGCTTCACATTTCTCTCTGCTTGAGGCTGATGAGCTCGATGTGCTTGGATGGACTTTTGAAGCCAAGTGTGGGCAGGAGAGGGCGTGCGCAGAGAAAACCAGAAACGCTGTAGCCGAAGGGCTGGCTTAAGGGGGCTGGTAAAGTGGATACAGCCTTTGGAGATCAAAGCTGTTGTCAAAGCTTTTGAAGGCTGGGGTCAACTTTTCAAATATAAAATAAATGAGTTTTTTTTTCCTGCTCCTGCCCTGCAGCATCATCAAACCTGTTGTGGTATAAAGTACAACCCCGAATCTAGAGGTGAACTGAGGAGCTCTGGGAAACCAGGATGTTATTTCAGATGCTGTGTAGGTACAAGCCAAGTCATTGTTCCAGCACGTACCCTCCTAGTGTGGGGGAAAATGTTTTTTGGGACAGGGGGACTACTGTGGCTCCAGCAAGCCTCCAATTTTAACAGCAAGAACTACACTGGCCTCATTGCTGGGCTCATGTATGTGGTGTGGCCAATAGCCCCCTCCATGAGGTCCCATTTGAGGTGGTCATGGTGCCTCAGTGTCCTCTGACAGGGTGCATGGCATTACCCAGCTACAGGCAGGGAGTCTGAGCTGCTGCACCAGTCCTGGTGTCAGAGAAGGAGCCAGGTTTAGGGCAGCTGCACCACGGGTCTGTGAACAGGAACTAAAGGTGGGTTTTCACATGATGACAGAGAAAAAAACCACTGTTCTTACACTTTGTTGTAAATGCAGTGTTTCTTTCTTCTTTTGGCTTGTTCCCTTGGGGAAGGTGGGATCATGAACCCCACTAGCAAAGGCAATTCCTCTGCCCGCATCTCTGCTGGGGGCCTGGCTAGCAGAGCTGTGCTGGCACAATCCTCCTGGCAAACCCATTAACAAGCTGACAAGGCCTATTTTTCTGCTTCCTCCTGCTCTCCTACAGGTTTATTCTTTTTTTTAAACACATTACAGAGAAGGTCAGTGTTGTGACATACTGTTGCTGGGGCACAGAGAGGTGATGGGTTTTGCCCAGGGTTGATGATGCTGGTCAGGGAGACCAGAACTGACCCACTTAATACATGTGAAAAATTATTTACGAACTCCTGCCTGCCCCTCTTAAAACTGAATCCAATTTAATCATAGAATAGAATGGTTTGGA